CCGGGATCCCCGGCCTGGCCGCCTCCTTCCACACCGCCGTCCTCAACCGCATCAAGGCCGCGAGCGCGGCGGCCGCCGTGGACTCCTGCTGCGTGCCCACCCAGCGCCGGCCCCTCTCCCTGCTCTACTACGACCGCGACAGCAACATCGTCAAGACCGACATCCCCGACATGATCGTGGACTCCTGCGGCTGCACCTGAGCGAGCGCCGGGGCAGGACACCGGGACAGGACACGGTGGGCACGGCTCCCTCCTCCCAGCTCCTGGGGCATGGCTCCCTCCTCCTGGCTCCTGGCTGCCAGATGGTTGTCCCTGTGGCCTCACTCAGCGGGATGTGAGGCTGAGGGGGACGAGGAAGGGGAAATCGCTCCCAGTGGGAGGAATGCGTCTCCCTCTCCAAGCATCCCTGGGGTTCAATAAAGACTCCCAGCCGTGGTGTGTGTGCACGTGTGTGTGTGTGTGTGTGTATTACACGTGTGTGCCCTGTCATCAGCCAGCACATCTTCCAGTGCTCCTGCCACAGGCGGCCCAGACAGCCCAGGAAGCAGGACTGGGCATCTCTGCACTGTTCCCAAAGACCTCCCGCGCTCTCTGCCCCTCAGCTGCCTTTCCCAGAGGGATGCAGGGGCCCTGATTCACCCCAACCAGAGTCAGGGCACAGCATGGGACCCCTCTGAACACAAGGGGGCCTGTGATTGCCACAGGAAAGGCACTATTCCTTGCTTGGGCCAAATGACCCATCCCACCAGAACCACCGGGATTTGGCCATTCTTGTCCCAAACAAAGAAACTCCGTTCTCCCTTCCAAAGTGGGTGGACACTGCCAGGTGAGAGCTATGGCCCCTGGGACCCCCCCTCGCCTACAGCTCCCCCCAGCCCACGGCCAGAGCTGCTGCCCCCCCTCCTGCCCCTCCCCAGCCCGGTGACAGCAAAGTGGGCCATGTCAGGGCCGTGAGAGCGGGGGACAAAGGGCGGCTCCGACACTTCATTGCGTAACTGGCGCGTTCGGGCTCCTCCGGCGCTCCCCACGTGTCCCCCGGGGTGTGAGGGCTGGGGAACAGGGGGCTGGGCTGGGACACTCGGGAGGGGAGCTCCAGGGGCGACCTCAGTGCTGGGGCTCGCTCCTGCAGGCACTGATGGTCCCACCAGTGAGGCTGGGATGGGGCTGGTCCAGGTGAGCAGAGGGAGGAGGTGGTGCCGGAGCCCCTCCCCACCTGGCTCTGCATCCTCTTTCCACTCCAGGATGATGAGGCACGAGCTGCTCTGGCTGGAGCAGGGGCAGGATGCCCTGGAGCACCTGGGACACCTTGGAGCAGGGACGGAACAACCTCTAAGAGGTGACAGTGTTTGCCCACATTGCACACACCCTCACACCGAGCCCTGAGGGAGCAGGGACCACCACGGCCCCAGATCCAGGTGTCCAGGTGCCCCCAGGACTCGGACCCGCAGCGTTCCCGCTGCAGGGGCAGGGAGGGAGGCTCGGGGATCGATCCTGTCTGGGGCCCAAGGCCGCTTGCGCAAACCCACAGAGGGTTTGGTGTTTGTTTTTTCCCCTCTTCTTCCAACGCCTCGTTTCACGGTCTATATTTATTGAACAAACACCTGCCCTGGAGCCAGGGCCGAGCCCGCTGGGATGCAGCAGCCATGGGCTCACGGGGGCTGAGGGAAGGGGCAGGAGAGCTGCTCCTGTGACACTACAGACCCCTCAGCTCAGGCTGCACAACCCCAAAGCCCTGAGCTGAGGCTTGGCCCACTCCCACAGGAAACAGGCACCTGGGTGCAGCCAGGATGCAGCACGGGGTGCCCAAGGCTCAGGAATCCCAAGGTAGCACTTCCCCACCCGGGGAACATGCAGGGTGAGGAAGCTGCAGTCAGGGAGGGACAAGTGATTCCCTGGAGCCAGGAACCCTCCCTCCTTCCCTGCTGTGACACTGAGCTCTGCTGGGGTCCCCTCATCTCCTGGGCGACTCTGGGGGGGTTGGCTCGGGCCCAGTGCCAGGAGACCACCCTGCTGGGCCCAGTAATGCTGGTGGGGAGTCCACCCCAGCCCTCCCACCGTGGCAATGCCACGGGGACATGGCACCCATGGCATCAGCCCAGCACTTGGGCTGTGCCAGATGTGACACGGAGGGGGACAGAGGTGATGTCCCCTCGGTCTCTGTTGCAGGAGAGGACAGATGTTCTGGTGCCTCCTGGAGGGACCCCTTGCCAGGATCAACAGCCCCTGAAGCAAAGGTCTGAGCACCCTGTGCCAAGTGCCCCCAGGCAGGGCCAGCTCCCGGGAGGGGTGGGAATTTCTGACAGCCCCTTCCCTTGCCTTGAGAGGAGTTAATGTTTAATTCCCAGTCTCAGGGCCCGTTCCCAGCCAGCAGTACCAGAGTGGTGACCATTGCTCTTCTCCCAAGGAAGAAGCAACGGGACAAGGGGAAATGGCCTCAAGTTGGTTGTGCCAGGGTAGGGTTTAGATTGAATATCAGGGAAAATTCCTTCATGGGAAGGGTGGCCAAGCCCTGGAATGGGCTGCCCAGGGCAGTGGTGGGGTCACCATCCCTGGGAGTGTTCAGAAGTGTGTGGATGTGGCATTTCGGGACATGGTTTAGCAGTGGCCTGGGTCGGACTCGATGGTCTCAGGGGCTTTTCCAGCCTTAATGATTCCATGATTCCATGATTCCATGATTCCATGAGCCATGCTCAGGTGCTGGTGCAGGAGCTCTCAGGGGGTCCGTGCTGTTGTCACCTCCAGGTCAGGTCAGCGGGTGCCACGCTCGTCCCACCGGCCGCGGGGTCGGAGGCCCCAGAGCCATCTGTGCAACAGGTGCTGGGCTGGGGGTGGGGGGGACCCAGGGGGGTATTTTGGTCAGGTCAGGCCCTGGGCTTTGCCTTCTGGGAACCGCTTAATCAACAACACACTTATGCAATGGGTGCAAGAGCGGCTCCGCGCTCACCCCTGCCCTACTTCGGGGGGCTGGGGCGTGCTGGGGGGCACGGGCACCAGGGGCTGTGTGGGGGATGCTGCTGCTGAGCAGGTGGAATGGGGATTCTGCACCATGCAGAGGGACCCTGGCAGGATTCAACAGGGTTAATCCCTTCGGGGACACCCCCACCACCACTTCCACGGCTCAGAGAGTCCCTCAGGTGTTTGCTGCGCTTTGTCTCCTGTTTCCCGCCATGCCACAGGCATGGACCTGGTTCTGGGATCTGGCAGGGATGGAGAAATTCGGCACGGTGGTGGAACGGGCTTGGGGTGGACGTGAAGCGGGTCCAAAACAGAGCCAGCACCCAGATATTTGGGAGGGGACCTGGACATGTGCTTGCAAGGGAGTGTGCAGATGAGCATCAGAGAATCATGGAATGGTTTGGGGTTGGAAGGGACCTTAAAGCTCATCCAGTTCCACCCCCTGTCATGGGCAGGAACACCTTCCACTAGCCCAGGTTGCTCCAAGTCCTGTCCAACCTGGCCTTGAACACTCCCAGGGACGGGGTAGCCACATCTTCTCTGGGCAACCTGTGTCAGGACCTCCCCACCCTCACGGAGAGGAATTCCTTCCCCACATCCCATCTAACCATGCCCTCTGGCAGTGGGAAGCCATTCCCCCTTGTCCTGTCCCTCCAGGCCCATGTAAGAAGTGCTGTGGGACCATCCATGCCCATGAGCATGCGTGCTCCGGGCACCTGTGCCAGGCTGCAAGTGCCACCCGCTCCATCCTGCCAGCAGCCAGGGCTCCCAGGCCCTCTGGGATCTGTGCTCCCACGCCAGCCTGTGCCCACTCTTTCCTCTCTGTTGACATTCCTGGGCTATTCTGGGAGCTGCCAGCGGGCCCAGCCAGCTGAGCCCTTTGCCCCTTGCTCGGTGGTTGCATCATCTCCGGTGGGTGCTTTTTCCCAGACAGCCCACTGTGTTTACATGGCACCTCTGGCTTGGCCAGGGCCAGGGGCTCCGTGTGGTCAAGACCTTGGAGTCGTGGCAGGGTGGGCACAGGACATGCTGAGCGCTGGCGGGGCTTCAAGTTCCCACCGTGCTCTCTGGGCTCCAGCTGGGCTCTGCCCATCCCCCGGCCAACGTGGCACCCTGCAGCGCTTTCGGGAGGGTTCTGCCAACCCCTGCCCTGCCTCGGGCTGCACATCCCGCTCCAAAGAGCCCGAGGAACATCTCCGTGCTGATGTGGCACTGGCTGCCCCCTCCTGAGCCCCCAGGACGTACAAATCCCCTTTTTACTGTGTGAGGAGCAGAGTGTCCATCCCAGGAGCCCCCGATCCCTGCTGGCAGCACCCAGCAGGACTGGCCCTGCTGTGATGGCTCAGGGATGCCCGGGGGGCAGTGTCCAGGCTGGGGGGCAGGTCTGTAGGATCCATGGGCAGGCAGGAGAGCAGGGATCCCTCCAGTGGCTTCTCCACCAGCCAGGATTTACCCCAGCCCTCTCTTCCTGCAGGTTTTGGAGCTCAGCATCCGGCTGCCCGAGCTGGGGGCTGGCCAGAGTAGATGCCAGGGTGAGCCACAGGCAAAGCCCACGGGTATGTGAGCCCCTTGCCCACACACCTCTGCACTCCCCTGCTGTTTGCTCCTCCCCCGAGCTCCCGACGGTTCGTGGGGAGCGGGGAAGGATGGGGGGGTGCCCACCGAGCCCCTTCGCGGGCACAGTGGGGCGGGCGCGGGGAGGCGGGGTTGGGGTGCTAATCCCGGTAATCCCCGACGGGACGGGACGGGACGGGACGGGCAGGTGCGGCGGCCAATGGCGGGGGCGCGGGGGGAGCGGCGGGACCGCCCCCGGCCGCAGGTGCCCAAAGCGGGCCGCGCCGCACCGCTCCCGGTGCCGGTGCCGTTCCCGTCCCGTGGACGCCGCTCCCGTCCCTTCGGTGCCGCCTCGTCCCGCAGCTCCCGCTCCTGTCCGGTGGGTGCCGCTCCCTCGGTGCCGGTGCCGCTCCCGTGCGGTCGGTGCCGCTCCCTCGGTGCCGGTGCCGGTGCCGGTGCCAGAGCCGCTCCCGTGCCGTGCGGTGGGCGCGGATGGCTGCGCGGGGCGCGGGCCCGTGGCTGCTGCTGGCCGCGGTGCTGTGCGCGGCGGCCGAGCCGCGCTGCCCGTCGTGCCCGGCGGGCGCGGAGCGGCGGCTGCTGGAGGAGGTGGCCAAGAAGCAGCTGCTGGAGAAGCTGCGGCTCCGCGATCGCCCGCGGCTCGCCCACGCCGTGCCCCGCGCCGCCGTGGCCCGCGCCCTGCGGCGGCTGCAGGCGGGAGGCGCCCGCCGGGGCCCCGCCGGCGAGGAGGAGGAGGAGGAGGAGCAGGGCTACGAGATCATCAGCTTCGCGGAGACAGGTGGGTTTGCGCGGCCCCCGTGGGAGCCCACGCGGTCCCCGGCGGGGCGCTGGGTCCCTGTCCTGCGCCCTGCGGACCCGCGGGGACGTGCAGCCCCGAGGGGACCGGGAGCCACGCGGGCTGCTGGTGGCTCGGGAGGTGACTCACCTGCAGCACCGCTGACATCCCGCTGCTGCGGGAGGGCTCAGCCTGGGACGGGCGAGGCGGCCCCTTTCCTGCTCCTGTCTGTTGGGACCCGAAGGGCTGCAATACCTCTCCTCTCTCCAACAATGGGGCTCCACAGGGTGCCCTGGAGGATGGGGCATCCCAGGGTGCCCGGGACTCCGGGTGGTGGGAGTCGGGAGGTGCAGGATTAGCCCAGGAGGGCTGGAAACACTCCATCACCCTGTGCAGAAGGGCCAGGTGAGAGCAGGCACGCCGGTTCTCTCCTGCACCCCTTCTACCAGGCAGGGTGGGACAGTCCCCCCACTCCAGGGGTGGCATTCCCAGGGAAGGGAGTGGCACAGGGAGGGAGGGAAGTTTGTAGGTGTCTCCTGAGAAGCTGAAGGATGTTGGCCTCGACTTGCGGGGTGGTGGGGCAGCATCCCTCAGCTCTCACCTCCTCATCCCTTTCTCCCCTCAGATCTCACATCTCCCTCCGGTTTGGGGCTGCAGTTCCAGTTCAGCCAGGCGCAGGACCAGGACATTCGCATCCTGCAGGCTCAGCTGTGGCTCTACCTGCGAGTGCCCCGGCCCGGGCTCACCCTGAGCATCTTCCTGGCCGGGAGAGCAGCAGGGAACAATCGCACGCTGCTGGGGGAGAGGCGGCTGAGCGCGGTGGGGAGCGGCTGGCGCTCCTTCCCCCTCCCGCCAGCCCTGCAGGGCTTCTTGGGCGGGGAGAGCCGGACGCTGCGGCTGCAGCTGGAGAGCCGCGGGGACCGGGGGGATGTCCTGGCACTGCTCAACGCCAGCCGGTCCCACCAGCCCTTCCTGGTGGCCAAGGCGAAGGCGCGGGAGCCCGAGCACCGCGTGGCCAAGCGCAGCCTGCGCTGCAGCCCCAGCTCCAGCCTGTGCTGCCGCAAGGACTATTACGTGGACTTCCGCGACATCGGCTGGAACGACTGGATCATCAAGCCCGAGGGCTACCAGATAAACTACTGCGTGGGCCAGTGCCCCCTGCACATGGCAGGCAGCCCCGGGATGGCCTCTTCCTTCCACACGGCCGTCTTCAACCTCGTCAAAGCCAACAACGTCCAGGCTTCGGGGCATTCCTGCTGCGTCCCCACGCGGCGCCGGCCGCTCTCCATCCTCTACTTCGATCGCAACAGCAACATAGTCAAGACTGACATTCCCGACATGATTGTTGATGCCTGTGGCTGTAGTTAGGGCCGGGGGAGCCGTGCTGGACCCCCCCTTCTCCAGGACACTCTCTGGTGGAGGGGGAGGGAGCTGGGGAGCTCCCATGAGCTGGAATCAGCCCCTGGTGCAGTGGACCCCTTTGGAAAGCTTGGGAGGGAGGGAGAGGGTCTCATGAGAGGGAGCAGGGGTTGCCTCCAGAGAGTGCCTGGGGTGGGGGGCTTTGGGGACACGTGGGATGGAGTCAAGGCCATATCAGACTGCCCGAGCCTGGACTGTGGGTGTTGATGGCTCTGGGCATCCCCCGAGTTGGTCCCAAGGCGATCTCACATTCCTGATGGTCGTGGTCCCCTCTGGTGTGGGGTAAGGGGGCCCTGCTTGGTTCACACTCAGTGTCCAGGGATGGTCTGGAACTCGGCCTCCTTGGGAGCAGAGTGGGATGTGGGAACAGATCCAGCAGCCCCACTGGTTTTCCTACTGGAACAAACCTTCCTGCATCCAATTCAGGCCTTTTTCTGGGGACAGGTGGAACAGGCCTGGAGAGGAGGGTAAATGGTCTGACTTCATCAAGAACCCCAAACCAGCAATGACTGGACAGTCCTCTGCTCCCTGGGGTGCACAGAGCTGTGAGGACCAAGCACCCAGGTCCTGTGTGTTCCCCCTTTCCCTGGATTTATGTTTTCCTCCCCTGCTCCCACCCACCAGCCTGGTCTCCTCCAGCCTGGTGCCACCATACAGGGAGTTCTGGCTCAGACTCTGCCTTTAAGATCACACTAAAGGTACAGATTTGGTTTGTGCCTCCAGTTTTGCAGCTATTTTGGGCTTTTTCAGTAGAGGTTCCTGCAGCCATTGGGACTCCTGGTGCTCCATCCTCTCTGCTGAAGCTCCTGCTCTGCCCTCACCTTCCCCTCACCCACATGGCCTATGCTTTAATTTATTATATAATATTTTGCTGTGGTTTCCCGAATAAATGGGTGGAAATGCAATATCCAGGCTCTGGCTGTTTTTTTCCTGGGACAACCAGCATGGGGTGGGTGAGAGGATCCTGCTTGGCCAGAAGGTCCCAGGTCCCTCAGGCTCTGGAGCTGGAGCAGCACAGGAGCTGCAGCACAGTGATGCTCTGCTGGGAGCTGAGGGGAGTTGTGAGGTTCTGGGGCCTCCTTGGGTGCTCACAAGGGCTGTACAGGGTTAGGGTTGGGATCTTCCCTGTGGATGGGGGTCCCAGGGATCAGGCAGGGGCTGGGAACCAGGTATCACCTCGCTGGGGCTGGAGAGGGCTGGCCTGTAATGGGAGCATCCAAGCTGTGTCCCAGCAGGGCAGGTTCTGGGAGATGCTGTTCTCCACCTGGAGCAATCCCAAACAGAGCTCTGGAGACTCTTGGCTCCAGGGAGGTGACCCCAAATGCTGAGCCACAGCCCACGCCCAAATCCACCCCTACTGCAAATGCCCTGACCATGTCTCACCTCCCCAGTGCCCCTCGTGTGCTCCCCTGAACACCCCCCAGTGACCCCAGTCTCAGCCCCATCCCAGCCAGGAGGTCTGGTGGGTGATGGGGAGTTTTGGAATCCCGGGTGGGATGCTCCTGGGGTGGGAGGCCACGCTCACCCCGCTGAGATGCCCCACGCTGGCCCGGGGCCCCGTTGCGCAAGCGCCCGCTCAAAGCTCAGTGTGGGGCTGTTTTATCTGGGGACAAACCCCCCTCGCGTTCCCAGCTCGGCCCTGCCAGCGGCCAAAGGGCGGCTTTCATCAGCCGGCAGGTGCAGGGGGCATCCCCCCGGGGCACCGCTCCCAAAATATCCCGCCGTGGGGCAAAGCCAACGGCACCTGCAGGGCGCCTCGGCCTCCCGGGCGCTCCCCCTGCCCCCGGAGCACGTGTGGCTGCACACATGCCGGGAGATGGATCCCCAGGGATGTGCGAGGTGTCTGCAGTGTCCCTGCTCCCTCCCCGGATCAGCATTCCCGCGTGGGGAGCATCCCACCCAGACACCGCAGACGTGTTTTCCTGTGTTTTCCCCGTGGCAGTGGGTGTGTTCCCGGGCAGGGGGGGTGTCCACGCGCGTGTGCGTGAGGTGCTGACTCACTGACACACTGACACGCTGCCCCCGCGCCCAAGGTGCCGAGCTGGCTGTGGTGGCACCGGCAAATCCCTAAGCCGGGGGATCAGCTGGCCCTGCTCTGAGCCACTTTGACTTTCCCAAACAGGAGACCGGGATTACCCGTGGGGTGGGGGACGTGGCAGGGCCGGGGGGCTGCTGGTTCAGAGCCGCTCTGGGTGGGGCTGCCCTGGTGTTGGTGGCACTCAGGGGCTCGGAGCTGGTGGCAAAAGGGGCCTGGGGCTGTCTGGCCATGCAGATGGTCCCGTGGGGAGAGGAGGGTGGGCTTGGGGTGAGTCCTTGGACCCCGAGCAGCTTATCCAGGGTCACACTCAGCTCAGGGGCAAAGCTGCTGAGCCGCTTAATGCTCGTTACAAAACGGGGATGGAGGCAGCCCCTCACCTGTGCCCATCCCCTCACCTGTGCCCATCCCCTGTGCCCATCCCCTCACCTGAGCCCATCACCTCGCCCCTACCTCAGAGATGCTGAGGTGGAACCCAAGCCATGGCAGTCTGGGGCCACCCCAGGACCCCAGTGGCAGTTCCCTTCTGCTGCCAGAGGAAACTGGGGACCCTGCAGGCACTGCCACCTCCCCTGGGGCTTCCCGGGGAGCAGAGACCCCTCCTTACCCTCGCTGCGCTGGGGGGGTGGCAGGGAAAGGAGCTGATCTCAGTCTGGGACAGTGGGGAAGGAAACTGAGGCAGGGAGAGGATTGTGCAGGTCCCGACTGGGAGCTGAGGGGTCCTGAAATCCTGTCCTGCTGTGGTCCCCGTGATGTCCCTCTGCTCCGGGGGTCCCGCAGCCGTGACAGGGGCCACGCCGTGACGCTGCTCTGCAGATAGTGATGGCACGGGCGGGACAGGTCAGTGCCGGGGACAGCAGAGTCCCCCACGGGGTAATCCCGGTAAGCGGCTCCGGGGTCAGCGGGAGTCGCGGCGCGGCCCCGTCACCTTCGGGGCTCGCGCCGGTCACCGGGAGCACAACGGGCCCCGCCCGCCGCCACCAGGGGGCGCTGCCAGGCCGTGACCCCCCCCGGTCCAGCCCCGAACCCCCCCGGGCCCCCCCGGGTGCGTGGGATGGGACCCCCGAGTGTGTGCGTGGGCTGTGCCTCCTGCGTGGGCTAAGGGGTGTTCCCTCCACGCGTGTGCGGGCTGGAGGGGATGATCCGCGAGTGGGCTGTGCCCCCCCTGCGTGCGCGTGGCTGTGCTTCCTGACTGTGTGTGGCGTTCCCCGCGGGTGTGTGGGCTGGGGGGGTGCCCCCCGTGTGTGTGTGTGTGCTCTGCCCCCCACAAGTGCACGTGCTGTGTCCCCCGCGTGTGTTCGGGCTGTGCCTCCTCCGTGTGCGTGGACTGGGGGGTGTCCCCTCCCCGTGTGCGTGGGCTGCACTCCCTCGCGTGTGTGTGTGTGTGTGTCTGTGTGTGTCTGTGCCCCCTGCGTGTCTGTGTAAACGGGCTGTGTCCCCCGCCGTGGGCTGGCGCGGGGTGTGACCCGGCGTGTGCGTGGGCTGTGTCCCCCGTGGATGCCGGGTTGGTGTCTGTCCCCCGCTGCGTGTTCATGGGCTGTGCCTCCGCGCGTGTTCGTGCTGTGCCCGCACGTGTGCACCGTGCACGCGGCGGGTGTGCCTGTGCGTGTTTACACGCGTGACCCCTCGCACGGGTGGGCCCAGGCTGTGTGTGTGTGTGCAGGGGCTCCCACACGCCTCCTGCGCCCCGCGCCCGCGTGCACAGGTGTGCCCACGCGTGTGCCCAGCTCCGTGCGCGTGGGGCCCCCGCGAGCGGGACCCGCGGGTGCTCGGGGACACGCGTGGGCTGCTGCCGGCCCTCCCGCGTGCGGGAGCGGTGCGCGCGTGGGGGGTGCGCGCGGGCGCGGGGCCGTGCGTGTCCCGGATCCATCCCGGGTTTTCGGGGCCGCCGTTCCCGGCCGGGGTCTCCGTCCCGAGCGCGATCGGCGCCGCCGCCGCAGTTGGCGGAGCGGGACCCGCCGGGACCCGCCGCCCCCGCCGGGCTCCGGTAACTTTCTCCGGGCGCCCGGGGCGGGCCGGGGGAGCGCGGGGGGAGCCGTCCCGTCCCGTCCCGCCCCAGCCGGCAGCCGCCGTCCCCCCTGGATGTGCCGCTTCTCTCCCAGACCGAACCACCGCCGCCGCCGCCGGGGGAACGGGGGACGCGGAGCCGCCGCCCCGCCTGGGTCCGCTCGGAGCCCCCCGGAGGTAGGAGCCGTCGGGCGGGTCCGGCCCGCGGGATCCCCGCTCTCGGGATGGCGCCGATCCCTCCACGGGCCGTCCCGTGAGCTCCGGGGCGGGGGGGGCGAACCGGGACCTCCACCGGGGCTCCCGGCCGGGGGGACCGGCCACGCGGGGCGGGCAGAGGGGATCGGCCCCACGCGTGCCCCGTCACGTCCCCTCGTGCTCCCGCCCACGGCCGCACGCTCCCGCCGCGCTTTGAGCGCCCGGTGGGTGGTTGGGTGGGTCGCTGTGTGTGGGTGGGCTGGGACGGCCGCACCGGGCCGGTGGAGCCCCTGGCAGCCCGCCGAGGGGAGGCTGCTCGGGGCTGGGGGCTCCTGGGGGCTCCCGGGGGCTGCCGGCTCTGCCCAGATTGGGGGTGTTGGACCGGGAGCAGCGACTGGGTGGAAATTGCTGCCCCGGCCCCGGTGACGCAGCAGCCGCAGGACTGTCCCGAGGGGCTCTGCCAGATGTGCCACCCACCCTGCCAGCCCCAGGACGCCCTGAGCCTCGTACCCCACCAGCCGGGATGTCCGCGGGGCTCCGGCACCCACCTCGTGGGCCCCCGCACCCAAGAGCTTTGGCAGGGCACGGGGACGGCCCCGCGGCCGGAGCGGCCGGATGGACCCACAGGCAGCACCCGCTGTTCGCGGGGCCCTGGCACAGCTCCGGGGGGTTGGCGTGGGGACAACGGGTGCCCCCGGTCCCCTGATGTCCTGCCAGGCCGTGAGATGGCACTGAAGGCTGCGGTGACGGCCTGGGGGCTGCACCTCTCCCGGGAGGATGGTGAGGAGGGAGGGGATGGGGCTGAGGGATGCTTGTGGCATTCCAGTGCTGTGTTTGGGGGCTGAGAAAACACTGGCTGCT